TGACGTTCGATGCACTTCGTTTAAATAGATTTTTTGCTGACTTGACGGCAGCTTCCCACAATCCACCGAAGTGTGGGGCTCGTGGTGGGATGAACTTAAAATCGATATTGTACGAACAGCAAACACCCTGTATTTTTTCTTGGCTTCTTTCATCGAACACAGCATTTTTTAGTTCAGCAAGTTCCTTATTAGCTCCAACGAAATTAGTGGCATTGTCACAGTATATTTTCCGGCACATCCCTCTTCTTCCTATGAAACGTTTTAATGCCATGATGAATGCGTCAGTTGTAAGATCTGTGACTACCTCCATATGTATGGCCTTTGTTGCAAAGCAACAAAATACGGCCACGTAGCTTTTTGTTGGACGTTTTCCCCTGATACGATAATGAGTCCATATTGGACCCCAAAAGTCAGCTCCTGAGTTTACAAATGCTCGTGCTGGTTCAACGCGATCAGTTGGCAAGTTTCCCATGATTTGATTTAGTAGTGTCGGTTTCGCCTTGGTGCAGATAACGCATTTGTGAATAATAGTTCTTGCTATCATCTTTCCTTTGAGTGGCCAGTATTGCTGTCGCATGATTGCCATTAATCCTTGTGGTCCAATATGTTTGTTGCGGACATGAGTCTCTTGTATTAACAGCCTTGTTAATGGGCAATCTGGTAGCAAGACTGGGTGCTTCGCCTCAAATGAAAGTGAGGAAGATTGAAGCCGCCCGCCAACTCTTAGAAGACCTTGTTGATCAATGAATGGAGACAAAGCCTTAATTGTACTAGTTTTTCTGACTTCTAAGCCCTTACGAAGTGAATTTTTTTCTTCTGCTAATCCCTCGTCTTGTATCATGCGAATGATCACTTGACGAGCACGTGTCAATTCTACACTGGATAAGTGACATTCGTTTTGTTCCAATGATGCCTTCCGGAGAATTTGTGTGCAACGAATAACATAAGCAGTTATTCTTTCCAATTTGGAAAAGGAATTCTTATGATCGATATTGTGTAAGAAATGTGGTTTGTTGGGATCGATTGTTACTGCATGTATTGATCTCTTAAGTTCCACTTTACATTCTGATCTGGCTTTGAATGGAGCAGGCCATAGTGACTGATGACCATGCAGGAACATAGGACCGTAAAACCATAAGTGGCAGCTGCTTAGTTTGGATGCTTCAATGCCGCGCGATAGTATGTCGGCAGGATTATCTTTGGATCTAACATGTCGCCATTGGCCCTTGCTGGAAATTTCGAGAATTTTTGTCACCCTATTTGCCACGAATGCGTAGTAGGAGGCTGCCGATGAATTGATCCATGCCAACACAATTTCCGAGTCTGTCCATAAATGTGTTGTGGTATCTGTCAACTGCATGCAATTTTTTACCTTAGCTAATAATTGTGCTGTTAGTAGAGCGGCGCATAGTTCTAACTTTGGGGTTGTTAATTTCTTGATTGGGGCTAATCTCGATTTAGCACAAAGGAGGCGGACAATCACTTGTCCGTGCTGCGTAATGGAACGTAGATAAATTACTCCGCCGTAAGCTCGTTCTGAAGCATCGGCGAAAGCATGTATTTGCGTTGATTTTGGAATCTCGTTTCCGAAAAGATGACGTGGCTGTTTTATGTTATTGAGACAGTTTAAGCTTTCCATGTAACGCACCCATTGACAGGTTAGCTCGTTTGACAATTCTTCGTCCCAATCAAGTTTCAGCGTCCACAAGTGTTGCAAGAATAATTTAGCTTCTACTGTGACTGGACTAACGAGCCCAAGCGGATCGAAAATTCGAGAAATGTCGGATGATATACTTCTTTTAGTATATTTGACGTGTTCGTTTTTGTTGATCTGTATCTTAAACTCATCTGTTGTTGGGATCCACACTTGGCCCAATGTCTTAATGTGACCGCATTCCATCGTGTTGAAGTCTAGTTGTACAGCTATGTCGGATGGGTGCAACCCTTCCATTAATTTTGGATGATTGCCGCACCATTTGCGAAGCTTAAAGCCACCCTTGTGCAATAGTTTAATAAGTTCGTTTCGTGCATGTAATGCTTCAGACATACTGTTGAACCCTGTCATGACGTCATCTACGTAAAAATCTCTTTTGACGATAGCTGCAGCTGTCGGGTGCCTACTTTCTTCAATTTCAGCCAACCGTTGCAAGCATTTTGTGGCAAGATACGGTGCTGACGATGTCCCATAAGTTACGGTATTAAGTTGATAAGTTCGAAGAGGCTCATTGTCGTTGTTTCTCCATAAAATTAGTTGGAATCGACGGTCATCTTGGTCCACCATAATTTGACGATACATCTTCTCGATATCGGCCGTGAAAACGAATTTAGATAAACGAAAACGTGTCAGTATAGCGAATAAATCATCCTGGATAGTTGGACCAGTAGCTAACACATCATTTAAAGATATGCTTGTGGAAGTTGGTGCAGAGGCGTCGAACACTACTCGAAGTTTCGTGGTGGAGCTCTCTGGTCGAAGAACTCCATGATGAGGCAAAAAATAACAGGGATGGATTATATCATCTGGGTTGATCACACTCATATGTCCCAGGTTGATGTACTCTTCCATAAATTTATTGTATGTTGTTTTGAATTCAGGGTCTCCGTTGAGACGTCTTTCTACGTCTCAACGGACAGCACAGCAACGAAAAAACGTTGCTGTGCTAATCTTTGCGAATAGCCTAAAGAAGTGACTTCTCCTTTGAATGGTAATTTCACAACGAATCTACCATCAGTTGATCTTGCCACAGATCGATTAAAGTGTTCCTCACATTGCTGTTCTTCAAGTGTTTGATCCGACGAACCTTGCTGTATCTCCTCTAGTTCCCAAAATTTGTGCAGGTCGAGTTCTACATTATTTGTAAGAACACCGCAAATCGATGCAGAAGACGAAAACCCAGAAATCCGACCACTGACCATCCACCCAAACACAGTTTTTTGTAACATTGGATAATTGTTTCCTAGCGAAATTCTCCTTGGCAGAACCATGTCGTTGTATAATTCAACGCCAATAAGAATATCTACTGGACCTGGTTTGTTGAATTGGGCATCAGCCAACACAACTCCTTCTGGTATAGCCCAATTTGATGTATCCAGTTCAATTGCAGGCTGATTTGCAACTATTGTTGGCAACATATGAGCTTCTATTTCAGTTTTGTAGTTAGTTACACTAGATGATATAACTACGTAGACTCTTTTTTTTGAGCACTTGTTTTTCTGACCGACGCCACTAAGATTCAGCGAGCTTGATAATTGAGTTAGCCCAAGTTTTCGTGCTGCTCGTTCTGTTATGAGGTTCACTTGTGAGCCTGAATCCAGTAATGCACGCATCTTGCATTCCACGCCCTGAGAATTCAGAACCGTCATTATTACAGTTGCTAGTAAACCATAAGATTTCTTCAACTCTACGGGTCTACTTGTTGTAAGCGTAGCTGCTGCATGCCCACCTAATTGGTGTGAATCGTTATTTCGCGATGAGTCAGTAGTGACCTGAGACTTGCCATTGGCAGCATAAAGTTCATGTAAAGTTGTATGATGCCTTCTTTTGCATTTCAGACAACCCTGAGATGGGCATTTTGTTGAAAAATGGCCCGAGCGCAAGCAATTTACACAACGTTTGGCACTGAGAATCATATTTCTGCGAATTTCCGGGGGGTTTTTCAAGTAATTTTTACAAGTGGAAGTTTTATGATCTCCCTTGCAAGCTAAACATTTTAACATTCCATTTGTAGTATTTAAACACGCCTTGTTAATGCTCTTGCCTCCAATTGCCTCTAATGCTTGGAAGCGAAGTTCTAAAAATTCCAGAAATTCATTTAACTGTTGGATTCTTCTTGGATCCTTCACGTTCTGTTCATACAAGCTGTGTGTTATTGGATCCAATTTCTTCGTCAAAATGAAAAGTATTATTGGATCCCAGTTTTCGATGTTGATTTCAAGATTTTTAAGTCCAAGAATACACTCAGAAGTTGTATCATGGAGTCGTTTGATAGCTTCAGAGCTTTCAGATGTTATAATTTGTTGAGAAATAAGTTTTGCAATAAATGCATTCACAAGAAGCCGCTTATTATCGTAGCGCTGGCAAAGTAAACTCCAGGCACTACTAAAATTATCCTCAGATACTGTTAAATGAGCAATTAGACGTGCTGCTTCTCCGTCCAAATTCGATTTTAGATAAAACATTTTTTGGCAATTCGCAAGTGATTGTTTATTTACCACTTCATTGAACAAGTCGCGAAATTGCCTCCATTCCAAGTAGTTCCCACTGAACCTTGGTATTATTACTCGTGGTAACTGCATTGATGCAGATGTTAATGTTGAGGTATGCGAAGACGTTGAAGCAAGTTTCAACTCTTCCACCTTTAAGGACATATTTTGGACTTCTCTTTCTAACGATATAAACCCTTCTCCATCATATCCAATAGTTGCTGGATTGGATTCTAATTCACAAATGCTGTAATGGAGTTCCTCAAAATGGGCCCATAAGCGAAGAATAGAATCCTTCAACAGTACCTTACGTGCTAAAGGTATGTCCGTGGTGATGTTAGCGTCAATTAGTTGACGTTTTATAGTTTTGCCAAACTCTTGTTGGCGTCGCATCATTAGAGATAGTTTATTGGAATCACATGAGCTGTTTTTCGTAGCTATTACTTGTGCTTCTACATTCTTATTAGTGGCGAATGAGGTTACGTTTGACAACAATGTTATTTGTTCACTAAAAGTGGCTTCGTATTGTTCCCAAATTTTCAATACCTGTTCATAGAAATTCTTAGTGAAGTATTCATGCGACTTGTCTTCCGAACATTCTTTCTGGAGGGTATTATCATTGATTTCGAATTGTTGCCATGCCTTCTTGAGATCCTGAAGTCGTTTTTCAAAATATGCCGGTGTCTGCTTCCTATCGCTGGAGTCCTTTTTGTAATTTCTGATAATTACTTCGATCTCAGTTGCAATCGTCTTTTGAGCTTGCACGATTTTCTCGATGTTATCCATTGTCCAAGTATAGAAAACAAGAGCGAAACGAGTTTATTGAGCGAAACGGCTTATTATTTTTTATTAGCGAATTTTTAAACACGAAAACGCGACTGACTACGCGATCAATCCTTTATACTAGGGGTCACCAATGAAAACGTCTCAATAGCTTAGATGCTAATGATAGAATTGAGTGCAGACGAAACGTCGACTCAATGGATCTTGAAGAGGAGAAACTCCAATTCAAGTGCGCGAACTTTGGATTGATTCCTTACAATTAAACAAGCAGTTTGCTAGTTAGAAACCTTTATTGTAATGAAAAATGTATCTGCAATTTACCTCTTAAATATAAGTGATAAATTGCCGATACGCATATTAACAATAATGCAAAATTAATAATTAAAATAAATTAATTATAAATTGCAAATAATACAATTTAAATAAAATGCAAAAT